GGGTGGCAATGTGATGCCACAGGCAGAACACACCTGGATCTGGAGGTTCTCTTCAGCTCAGAGTGGCCTCTTCTAAATCCTGTGGAAAAAATGATCCCTGGGCTTGTTTCTGCTCTGGTTTGTTGGAGGTTTTGGAGCTGGCACTGGCAAATCCACCAGGCCAGCAGTGCCCTACAAGTGCTCTGTGCTGGGACAGCAGCAGGGACAGCAGGGAAGGGAACCTGCTGGCCAAGGGCACAAGGAATCCCTCCAGCTCACCTTCACCTGGCTCTGGAACAGCTCCATGGAGGAAGGGAACAGCCCCCAAAACTGCCAAGTCAACAGTTTTCACAGGAAAAAAATTCACTTTGCAGGGAAAAATGTGCAAGAAGGTGTTGGCAAGGTCCTGACAAAACTGGTGGTCTTTCCTTAAATCCAGCTGAACCATCAGACTGCCAAGGATTCCCAGCTGGGCCAACACTGATGGATTTTTCCAATTTTAAATCTCCTCCACTGCACAGAGGTAATGAAATTGGGCAGACACCCCGAGATGGGCTGGCACAGGAGCAGGAAACTGGGAATGCAGTCAGAGAGTTTAATATCCTCCTTTTCACTCCTCCAACATTCTGACACTTCCACAAAGTTCCTCCCAATATCCATTCTCTTGGCATAAATCATGCAAATCACATGCAGGATTAAAGGTTGAGTAATGAACATGATCTAATTGCTGCAAAATAATAATAAAAACCTCCTTAATCATTTATTTCTATTGCAGCTAAGCCAAGAAAAATCTCCATAAACAAGGCAAAAAAACCTCAGCCAGGGAACCTGGAAAACAGGAAGGGGATGGATTTTTTTTCACTCTGAACATGGAGAAATCAGGCACAGCACGTTGGGTGACAGTTCCTATGGAAACCTTTTATAACTGAACAGCAGAACATTTGAAAGGCTCATAAATTTTTTGGGAATGTTTCTCTTGTGTTACCTCCTTTAGGCCAGTTTTCCATATTGAACACAGGTTTTTTTTTTTCATGTGTAACAAGTTTTTAAGGACAAAATATTGTGGGGGTGCTGGAAATTGCAGGCTGTGCTGGCAGGGAGAAATCGTGGGCTGGTTTATCTTCTCCAAACAAATTGCTGGTGCCGTGCCTGCTCCCTCCCAGTCCATCCCAGCTCCTCAGTTACTCCCAGCAAATTTCCTCCAGGTTTATGATTAGCCAGATCCAAGGAGCAGGAATGGAGGTGTATGGATTCACCCTGTGGAATGCTTTCACCCCCAGCATGATGATTGCCCTGGTTTGTGGTGGTAAATGATTTTGTAATTCCCTGTGAATTGTCACTGACAGTTCCCAGTTCCTAGAAAATGGGTGCTTTTAGGGAATCTGAGACTGATTTATTTGGAATTCCCATTTGCAGCACATTCATGGCCTGGCCAATAAAAACACTCCTGGTAAGAATGTGGGGTTGGACCTGCTTTTGCCAGGAATCCAAGCAACATTTGGATGTTTTTTAATGCTAAAATTGCCAAAATGCACTTGGTTCCAATAAGTAATGACTAAATTAGAAGCTGAATGAGGAAAAATAAAGCCAATGTGGGAAGGATGGTGATTTAAAGCAGGACATTGATTCAGGAGAAAGTGTTGCAGAGGTTCTCCTGTGAATATCTGGGCCATTTATTGAGAATTGTATTTGTTTGATCTCATTTTCCTTTGTTCTCAGTTATTATTCAAGAACTTGGCTTTGCTTTGTGGTGTTTATTTTAATATTTACTCTTTTTTTTTTGCTGCCTTTAAACACAAGCACGCAGATCAGCTAATGATGCACGAGGCAACAAAGGTTTGAAATTCTGCTGCAGAGACCACAGGTCCCAAAATAGCCCATGACAGCAGAGGCCAGCAATGATTTCCTTGCAGGAGTTACTCACTGTGCAAGTTCCAGCTCTGAACTCTCCCACCTTTCCACTGTTTGCTTGCAGGACTCTGAGTTAAGGAGTAGAAGCAAGGAGAAGTTGCTCAGCAGGCTGATCCTGGGAGAATCCACCATTCCCAAACTCAGGAGCAGCAAATTCACAGGCAGCAGGTCCCACTGCAAATGTTTGGCAAAGAGTTTTTGTGCCTGGGTGGAAGAGCAGGAGTAAAGGAACATCCCAAGTTTGGGCATGTCATGGAATGGTGCACTGAGAATGCCAGAAATGTTGGAATTTGTAGGGATAAAAGGATAAATTAACTCCTTTTGGCACCTCTGGTGTATTTGGGATGCAGAGTGCATTGTGAGGTGATCTGGGTGATCATCACCAAACGAATTATTGGTGTTGAAATGAAATCTGCAACTTCTGCATCTAAAATCTCAGTGTCTGAATGAAACACACACTGAGATTTTCAGATTTTCTCCCGATTCCTGCTGGAGCAGGAGGAGCAGGGACAAAAGGGAGTGCCATGGATTGTGTGTTTGACACGAGGTGTGATGGTAAAATCCATTTATCTGATGGGATGTGCAGCAGCTGGGGGGTCCCACATCCCCCTGCAGGAAACATTGAATTGTTTGATTTCTATTTCATTCATTTACCTAAGGAGCTCCAATAGCTGGCAATGTCAGGTGGGGCTTGTGTCCAAGATCTGTTCTCAGTCTTGGCTTTCACTTTACGTGCACAAATCTGAGTTTATTTGTATTTTTGGATGTAGAATCCCAAAAAAAAACCCAAAATCCTGGACTGGTTTGTGTTGGGAGGGACCTTAAATCCCATTTCATTCCAGCCCTGCCATGGGCAGGGACTCCTTCCACCAACCCAACCTGGACAATTTTGCCTGACTGCACCTATAATTCCAAAAGAATGTTTAAATTTACAATTACAATTACAATTACAATTCATACTCATTCCATAAAAATGACAAAATATATATGGCTGGTATGATTCAAAGCTGCAGAAGCACAGGGAAATTTATCTTTTTAAGAGACCTACAAATGCAACTGCTGGGGTTGAGTACATTATTCTTAATTAGCAAGGAATTTAATTAATTTAATTATTACAAGGTGGTTTATCAGTTGTGCAGCAGCACAACTGAAGTTACTGTTCTATTTTTTAATAATAGATTAAATTCAACAATGTTTTTTGCTTCTGCAGCAGTATTAAAACTCAATGAAAATATTTTAGAAAATGGGAAACCGTTTAGATCAAAGCATAAACGTGGAGGGTTTGGTTTGGAAGCTCCAGAAAAGGAGTCAAAGTCATATAAATATTTCATGGAAGCCTCTAATCAACAGGAGGAAATTCCTTAAGGAAATACCTGCATGCCTTGGCTCAGCCTCCTCTTCCTCCTGGAACAGCTCATTTTTGGGAGGCTGGTATCACCTGGACATGAACACGGGGAAAAAATGAACAGTTTTACCTACAAAATACAATATTTTAAATATCTATCCCTAACCAAGAAAAAAAAAGGTCTATTTCTCTGATATTTTATATATTTTCTGAATATATTCCTATTTTCTGTAGTTTCTCTGGAACTATTTACTGCAGGAATTTTGTTTGTGCCATTAATACCAAACTATTCATTTCTGAATTCTTTCAGCAAATGCACTTTAAATTTGAATGACTTAAATTCAGGGACACCTGCAACCCCTCAAAAATGACCAAAAAAAGGCAATTTTTGTGAAGGTAATTGCTGTAGGTAGAATTAATGAGCACTGGTTACAGGTGAAGCAGTGTCCACCTTCAAAGTGGAAAATTAATGGTAAAATTAATTACTCTGCTTGAATTCCTTCATTAGCATCACTGAATTTGATGATGTTTGAGCAGATCCATAATTTCTGCTGTAATAGCTTGATCTGGTGATAATTTTTGAGGAGATATTTCATGTTTCAGTATTCCTAGGAGAAAAGTGTTCCTTTTTCATGATCCCAGAATTATTTACATCCAATAATCGATGAATCTTTCACATCCTCTCATTTCCAATGATTTTATTAAAAAGAATGCAAATATTAGAAAAGGAGGAACATTACCTGTTTGAGAAAAAATTAGTGAAAAGGAAGCCCTTGAACAGAAGCTTGTCAGCTGTCAATTTTTAAATAATAAACCGAAAATCCCTTTGATTGCTGTCATTTTAAGATTCATTTTAGAAGTAATGAAAGTCCAAGATACTTTGTGTTTCTAACTTGTTTTGGTTTGGGCTAAGGCAATTTCTAAAGTAATTTATTTGGTGGAGTTTTTAAATCTGTAACTGATAATTAAAATGGCACCTTGAACCTAGTCAAGAATTATCCATCAGAATTAGATTTTCTTGATCAGAATTGTTACAAACACCCAATTTAACTTCAAGTGTTCTTCCAATTTCCTTTTTAAGACTCTTTATGTTTCAGGTCTGGATTCTCTGTTGCCTGTTCTTTGTGCTTGGCCTCGTGTCTAAAAATGGCTACAAAAATTTAAATTATTCTTCACTCATTTATAGCAATGATGACAACGTTAAGAGCTAAATTTACTGGGCTGTAAATGACATTGCAAGAGACTGTGCTAGAGAAAAAATGGATTTTCCAAAAGAACAACCTATTTTATTTTTTAAAATGGGTGCTGAGTGAAATGTTTATATGGACAGAGACCTCATGGAAGTGGAAATTTCTTTTATAGTGATTCCATGAAATATTGTCCTTCTGTTGTGATGCTGGGCTCCTTTTTATGGCAGGTCACAGCCCTGTGCCTGTCCCCGTGTCACCAGCACAGCAGCCAGGTGCTGTTTTCCCCATTTGCATGGATTTTAATCAATTTGCCACATTCCTGGTGAGGAATAAAACTGGGACAAGATCACTCTGGGCCACTGTGCCTGCTGATCTCCAGTGGAGTTCTTGGGTTCTCTTGGGATTTTAGGTTGGACTTGATGATCTCAGAGGTCTTTCCCAGCCTAACTTGGGATCAGGGATTTATTTTCTTGCTGTTCCATATTTCAGAATTTCCCACTAAACTATCTTTTCCACTTTCCCAGCCTAACTTTTTCTGTGGGATCAGCTTTATTTTGTTGCTGTTCTGTATTTCAGCCTCTCCAGTGGATCTGTATGCAGGGAAGGTGGCAGTGATGGGGATTTGGGGAATGATTGCTGCTGGCCTTGGCTTCCATCAGGATGGATCCTGGGGCAATTCCCCTCACAAGAGAGCCGCGGCTGTTCTCCAGAGCCCTCAAATCCTTCCCAAAAATCTGTCTGGAGATGGAGTACTGTGGGATGAAGTGAGGAGAAGGACCTGAGGGTGCTGGTGGACAACGAGCAGTCTCTGAGCCAGCAGAGTGTCCTGAGGGCACCTTCAGGAGGATCTTCAGGAGGAGCATTCCCAGCAGCTCAGGGGTGATGCTGGAGAACAGCTGGGGCTCTCTTGTGAGGGGAATTGCCCCAGCATCCATCCTGATGGGAGGCAAGACCAGGGCATTGTCCCTCTTCCTCACCCAGCAGCAATCATTCCCCAAATCTCCATCACTGCCACCTTCGCTGGGTACAGATCCAGCAGGTCGGGGAGGATCCTGCCCTGGGGACACCTCTGGGTGCTGTGCCCAGTTCTGGCTCCTCAGCACAGCAGGGCCAGCAGCTCCTGGAGCTGAGCAAGGGCCTGGAGCATCTCGGTGCCCAGGAAAGGCTGAGGGAGCTGGGGCTGCTCAGCCTGGAGAGGAGCCCCAGGGAGAGGGGCCTCAGCCTGGCTGTCCCTGTGTGTCCCTGGCTGTCTGTCCCTGGCTATCTGTCCCTGTGTGCAGGGAGGGGCAGAGCATGGCCCAGGTTCTGTCCCGGGCCCCAGCGCTGGCACCAGAGGAGCGGGCAGGAACCGACACCAGGGAGTTCCCCTGGACAGGAGGCAGAATTTCTTCACTGAAAGAAGGGTGACAGATTGTCCAGACAGGCTCAGGAGTCTCCTCACTGGGGCTACTACAGACCCGTCTGGACACAATCCTGTGCCATGTGCTCTGGGATGACCCTGTCTGAGCAGGGCGCTCGGACCCGTTCTGTGAAATTGCCGCTGCGTCCCGTTCATCCCGCACACCCCCCGGAGCTCCGTTACGGGCAGCGCCGAGCCCGCCCCGAGCCCGCTGGGCTGCCCCGCGTCGCTCCGGGGCCCGGCGGGCCGGGGTCGGGCTGCCGTGAGGGGCCGGGCCCGGGGGCTCCCTCAGGCTGCCCCGGGCGGGGCAGGGCGGGGGCGGCCCCAGCGCCGCGCTCCCCCCGCGGTCCCCGGCGCGCTGCAAGATGGCGGCGGGAGCCGAGCGCGGCGCGGCGCTGCCCGCGGAGCCGCCGCCGCTGAGCGCCGAGGAGGTGGCGAGGCGGCTGGCGAGCACCCGCCGCGAGCTGGGCAACCGCCGCAAGATCCTGCTGCGGAACCTGCCGGCCGAGAGCAGCAGCCAGGTACGGCCGCCAGCGCTGCCCGCAGCCGCCCGGCGGCGTGGCGCGCTCCCGCCCGCGCCTCAGGCGGGGGCCGGCAGCGGGGAGGGAGGCGCGGGGCAGCCCCGGGTCCCCCGCGGGGCTCGGCGGCCGCGGGGCGCTGCCTCCCCTCAGAGCTGCCCCTCACGGCGCTGGCTGCGTGGGGCGGCTTTGTTACCTGCGGAGAGCTGCTCCGGCTCGCCCGTCCACGCCCTCACCGGGGGCCACGCCGGGCTGGCCGGGCAGCACTCCCCGGGGAACGGCGGGGTCGCGGCCCGGGGCGTGAGGGAGCGAGCGGGGCTCGGTGTGGGGTGAGCGGGTAACGGGAGCGCCGCCGGAGAGGCGGCACCTGTGTGCGCACAGGTAGGGCACTGCAGCACAGCCGCTTTCCGTGCGAAATCTGGGAGAAAAAGCTTCCAGACTGGCTTCTTTTTTTTCATTATTATTGTGAGGTGAGCCAGACGTAGAGAGGGAAAGCGGTTTTCCGCAGTCTGACGGTGGTTTAGGAAAATTCCGCTCAAATTGCTGCTGTTGGTAGGAGATGATCGCTGAACTCTTCAACCGAGTGCTGTGAGTCAGATGCTGAGGTGATTTAGCTGCACAGTCACTTCACCAGCTCCAAGCACTCAACTTGATGCACGAGTATTAAAAAAAAAAAAAAAAAGAAAAGTAACAGCGCCTTTTGTTCTGCTCTGCTGATGGTGTGCCTCCCCCCTGTGTGAAGCACAGGTGGTTTTAGTACCTGCGGCTGAGAGCAGCACGTGCAGACTCTCGATTTCTGCACAGAAAGGGACTATTCATTTTGGAGAGGCTCTGGGGCGCTCGCAGTAACCCGAGCCGCAGCGCCCAGCTGGCCGCTGCACTTCGCGCTGTTTTGTTCTCTCCCGGTGCGTCTGGCCCGGCTCTGGCAGGTTCAAAGTTTGGAGCTGACAGCAGCTTTGTTAGGGTGCTTTGGGCACCTCTGTTGATAGCAGCCCGATGAGCTGATCTACAGCAAACTCGCAGCTTGGCGAGCGCTGCTAATCTCCGTCTCTTCACGAAGCGGCGGTGTTGACAGAGAGGCTTTGCTGGAGTGTCACCAGATGCTCGCCCTGGATGGAGCCCTCTGTGTCACTCTGTGACACTCCGGGTGTGTCCCTGCTCCTCTGCATGGGCTCCCATGTGGGAATTCTCCTCTCAGGTTTGGCGGTGCTTGCTCAGTCCGTGGGTGCTATAGGGAAATACCAAGGTTAAGGTCAAGTTTGGCAGCCACGGAGTCTTCTGGAAGTTTGCCTTTTTGTTTTGAGGGCTTCAAAGCAGCGCTTAGATGCCTTTTTCTCCTATGTGTCAGGTTCTAATGTTGCCCTGGACACCGTGTACAGATCCTAAAGTGCACTTTACAAACTCATTTTTATTTTTAACGTTGATGAGCTGCTGGTGGTGGTAACAAAGGCAGAAGAATTGTGCTGTAGAGAGAAAGTTTCTGTCCTGGAGCAGTTTTGGAGAGAAGGGTGTTTGTGGTCAGGCATGTTAAGTCTACCTGTGTATTTGGCTTCAAAATTACTATGAAATTTAACTTTTTTTTTGTTGCCAGTTAACACCCGTGGTAAACACTGGTTTGTCTTCGCCTTGCAGTAATTGGTGAGCCAAGTAAAATCAGATAAACTGTTTCTGACCTGGCCAGTTTTATTCACTGTCAAGAGGGAGATGAACTTCACTGAAATGCAGCCAAGTCTCCCAAAATAGGTTTTCATAAATGTAACTATTCATCTCTGAGTGTTGGGGTGTTGGCTTTGCTGCCATTTGTTGTTAAGTGAAGAGTGAGGCCAAGATTTACCAAAATAGTTTTGAAATGAAAAATGACTGTTTTGCTGATAGGGAGAGAGATTGGTGGAGATACTCAGTTTTGTCAGAAAAATAGGAAAAAACTAATTTTATTAATATGGAGTTACATAACGCATATAATTCCTCTGCCAATTGTAGCTACATATTAACTTTATTATTGTACCTGTAATCTTCAATTACCTTTGGAGCCCCACCTGTGTTAAACTAAATTTAAAAAAATAAATTACCCTTGGGGCCACAGAAGAAATGTCCCTTGGCCACGAGGTTTCTGAAGCAGAAACAGGTTTAGAAACCAGAGCTCACCCTGCAAATAGATGCCTGCAGGATCAGCGTTTCTTCAGGCAATTCCCTCACTGCAGCCATGGAGAAAGGATTTTTTTGTGGCAGATCTGTTTTCCATCTTCACTCCTCTCGAAGGCACAGTCTCCATTTGCTGTTCAGCTGGCAAGCCAGTGGATGCTGAACTCTTCAGAGTAGTTCTCACATTCATTCTTCAGAGATCCCTCATGGGATTCCTCCAGCCCAGTACCAAATGTGTGGTGTGGTGCTGACCCAGAAATGGCCACAGGCTGCTGCTGACCTCTGTAACTCTTCAGGGCTTTGATACCTTTCAGCAGTGACTGTGCCTTAAAGGCAGAATTCAGAACTGGGGGATCATGAGAGGCTTCCCTGTCTCTCCATGGAGCTTCCCAGGATACGTGCTCAGAGCAGGGATCCACTCTGCTGCCTTGGCAGGTCCCACTGCTCCAG